ATACTGGTATATATTATAGTAAATTATTTAGCTCTTTATATACATTTTAGCCACTATTAAGAGCCGCTGGAGACGGTCCAAAGAGCCATATGTGGCTCTGGAGCCGCAGGTTGCAGACCCCTTTAAACTTTAAAGTTTAAAGGATGCTATCGCAATATGTCTGGTTTTCTAACACGCAAAACATTATTTAGTTTCACCTGAATACCTCGTCACTAACAACAGGCTGCAGAAATAAGCTTTGGCTAATAATGTTCCTGTAGTTTATTGGTGTCTGATCACTGTCTGTATGTATTTAAATATTTTGCACATAACCTCTGAGGAGGCCTGCTAATAACCACTGAAAACACAGAGATTGGAAAACCGTCATGGAACAGCTACACTGCAAAGAATGGAAACCTAATTAAGTAATTTTTACTTAAAAAAAGTGCATTTTTCCTCTAATTGAGGACGAAAGTGAGCCACTTTGCCAATGGAACAAGACAATTTACATTTAAAATGAGAAAAAACAATGGCATTGTCTTATTTCAAGTTCATATTATCTAATTATCTTATTTTAAGAGAAAAGATACTAATTTCATTGGCAAATCATCATATTTACCTACTCAAATTAAGGGTAAATACACTTAATTTAAGAATTTTTTATCGTTTTTGCAGTGTATTCTTCTGTTTTCTAAACTATGCACTGGATAAACGTTCTAGAAATAAGTAAAAATGTCTTAAATTAACTGTATTTACCATTAATTTGAGTAGGTGAATGAGATACTTTGCCAATGGAATGAGTATTTTTAATCTTAAAATATGATATTTAGATCATATGCACTTGAAATAAAACAATGCAATTGTGTTTTCTTATTTTAAGTGTAAATTGTCTTGTTCCATTGACAAAATGTCTCTTTTACCTCCTCAATCCAAGAACAAATGCACTTATTTTAAGAAAAAATGACTTATCTAGATTTAGATTTTTTCCAGTGTGTTGGATGAGATAATAATGTCCCTTATTTAAACACTGATTCTTTCGCCCTGCTTTTTTTATTTAGTTTAAATCCAAACCAAACTATAAAGTTCTGTGACATGGTTTTAGTGCTAAATGTGATTTAACATTTAGCTCGTCTTATTGCACTTCTACGCACAGTTTGATTCAGTTTATATTTCCAGAAACATTTAAAACGATTTTCTGTGAAACAGGCTGAACATAAAAGTTGCATAAACCACTCAGGAAGGAAGAATATCACTTTTACATGCATTTAAAAAGAGTTTTAGGCCAATGAAAATGCAGTAAAATCAAAGATTGTCGTCTTCCAACTGCCCTTTTAGTTGCTATTTTTTTGTTATGTTTACTATTGTTGATTTATTACTTCATAATTTTTAAAATAAGACAAATATTCACTGTTCCTTTATTCCTAGTTGTCGTTTAGAGAAGCTAAAATAGAGCAATAAATATCTGTTTCTGCTAAGTTCCTTCCTTTAGCATTTAGCTATGAGTGGGGCTGCTAGTTGCTAACTTTTTTAGTTGCTAACTTTTCTAGTTAATAATAGGCAGATCTAGTTAATAATATAACATGTGATGCACAAAAGTGTGATGTAGACACTTTATTGACTTCTGTATGTATTTGTCTAGCAATTATCATTAAACATTAAGTAATTTAGCCACTAACTGATTTAATTGCTGTGTTTAGGAGTTAGCGGGCCTGCTAGTTGCTAATTTCCTCCATGTTTTGCTTTTGCGCATTACTTTGGTCACAGTTTTGACAAATAGGACTTTTAAAAATGCATCTTGCCTCTGTTTGCTTTTGAAAGCACCTGTAGGAAAATAACTTTGTTTTTTAATATCTTAAACATTTCACAATTAACAACGCCAATTGATGCTAACTGTTTTTAGCCTTTGCTTTTGCAATCATAAACTTAGTCCAGTTATGATTGAAAATATAATACTGAATTTTATATGATCAGTTTTTAATCTGTTTCTGTGAGAAAACAAACACCTCCATTCATTATTACAGAAAAAAAAGACTCAATGCGGCTCACATTTTTTATTTCTCTCTTAGTATGGAATCATAGTAGTGCCAAAACAATATAAAAGGATATGAGCTTTTTAAATTTAAACTTGGATTAGTTGGATGGAAATTTTCTTGTTTTGCGTTACTTTCTCACTTTTGTATCTATATTTATTTCATAACTTCTTAGAGGAAATATTTTAGCTTGTGCATTTGTTCTAAAATATGTTAATAACAACAAATAGATAAATAATCAGGTATTAAACTGAAATAAGAATCAGTCAAAGCATAAAAAAATTATTATTTAAACTCTACAATAAAGTCTGATTTCAAAGATGATGACTTTTTTTTGTAAGTTGTTCTGAAATCCATCAATAGCATTTTTATTTTTTAACCCCGTTATAGCTCTACCAGTTTTGTTTTTACTCTGTTAGTTTATTGTTTTTTTGTTTTGTTTTTTACAGAAATTATTAAGAGCGCCTTAGAAAAGCAACGCCTCAAAAGAGACCTTTAATTCTTTGAAGATATTAGTTATAATTACTGTAGTGATTGTAGTAAACTAATTTGGATTGCTTAGCTGATTTATTTATTATCAATTAGTGCTAAAGCTTTTTCTGCTGGACTGGAAAACTTTATATAATTTGTTTTTGGTTCATCTATGCTTTATAAGTACTCTACCATTTATGTTCAAAATCCTTTACATATTTTTATTTATTTTTGTGGCACTAGTATGATTCCATACACAGGGAAAGTATGTTGGATTAATGGTTTATTTTCCAACACTTACTGTTCATGGGAGTCCTTTAAAAACAAAAACAAAAATGAATGGGGATATTTGTGTCTTTAGAGAGAACTGTTGTTTCCAAACTTTTAGTGATATAAAACAGTCGTTTTAAACGTTTAGTAATTAGTGAGTAATTAGCACCAAGGTTATTTCTGCTGGACCAGAAATGTTTGTAACGTTGGTTTTTGCTGCTCCACCTGCTTTCTGTCTTCACACTGTTTGCTGCTGAGTCTGACTCACTCAAAAGAACAGACTTCAGTCAGAATTTAAATCTTTAATTCCATTTCCATTTTTCTGCTAAGCTCCAATTGGTGGAGAACACTTAATGTTTCTCATCTGAAGGGTTTTCCAGACTTGTCCTCATCTTTGAGCACAGACGGCTTTCTGTGGTTCTGTCGGAGGGGTGTCGTAGTTCTGGGCTCAGTCCCACAGCTGCTCCAGGACAAAGCTTGGGTTGTTTCAAACTAACAATAGACAGTGGAACCTCTCAGGATGTGTTTGTTTGTGGATGTTGTTGGGAATTCTGGAACTCCGTATGCATGCAGGTCATGCATTTCTTACTGATATTAAGATACAAACTTAGTTTTATGTCACATTCTGCTCTGAGTATTTAAAAAAGAAATGGCTATGTGCAAATCGTTTGCTCGTCGCTGCAGAAACAGTTCCTGAAACGGTGAAACATTTACACTCCAGCTGGCTGGTCTGATCATCACCGTATGTGAAAGCTTAATATGACCACTGACTGAATTACACTCCAGCCGTTGTAAACCAAGATGGCCGCTGCTGTATTTCACTCCAGAGAAAACGTCCATCAGGCATGCATGACCTGTAAAATATTTCTATTGTTTTTATTCATCAAAGTATTGTATTTTATGGTGAGAAAGGGTTTTGATATTTTATAACGATTTAAATAACAGTAATGGATGGGATTATATTTAGTATTTTAAGTTTAAAGGATGTGTTCGGTAAAGGGAATGTACTGAATCCAATCAGATTCAGCCTTGTTTTTCTAACGATTTACTTTAAATCAAACTTTTCCTGCAGGAACCTACAGTATATATAAGATATAAATGTGAGCAGGTTATTTTGGGTACATTTATTATCCTTTTTTGTTATTAGTATTGATTGAAACTGATTTTTTTTTAACTATTTTAACTCTTAGTTTTTAAACAATTGACACTGTAAGAGTTTATCTGTTTATAATTTTTGTACCTAGTCAAATAAAGTAAAAATTACTATGATTCACTTCATTTTGTGTATTTAATTTGTTGCATCCACATTTGTGTAAAAAATCAGTTTATTTATAAACAGATACTTGCAAAAGTATTTACACCCTTTGAACGTTTTCAAATGGTGCATTATGGTGGAAGAAATACGACACCTTTTCTGTGACGTAAGTAAGTAAATACAATCCAGCAAGTTGCCCTCAGAAGTGACCTGATTGGTAAACAGTATCCACATTTTTTATATTTTTTATAACATTTTTTGCAAAAAGTTTAATGATATAAAATGGGCAAAAAATATTTTTTTTTGAAAAATAATTTTTTTTGAAAGCTCTACTTTGTAGAACTTGAGTTTTATAGAACTAACACAAAAATATTGGCTCTGTTGTTACCCATTGAAGGTTAGACTGTGGACAACAGAATCTCTTTTACTGATGTTTATTTTATTTTAGTTTATTATTTATTCAATTTTGGTTTAGTTTATTTTTTCATATATTTTAATAGTTTAAACTTTAATTCTGGTTTAGATTTTTTTTTTTACAGCTAATGCCAAAATAGGATTTATTTTTGTTTTTCCTAGAGGTTACATTGTCGAATCTTTAGCAGACAGTAGTGAAATTGTATCCTACGGCCGCTGGGGGGCGATAGAGAGAGGAGCGCATTTCCGCAAAGTTCAGGAGAAGAAGAAGGAAGAAGGAAGCGTCAACAAATAATTAATCACTACGTGGCTGTAAACATGGTAAGAAACACAACAAATTAACCATTTATTGTAAAAAGGCAAATTTAAAATTATATTATCAGCGTTTAATGAAGCCTGACCGGAAGATGGGAGCTGAAGAGCAAAGCTAATGTCGGATGAAGTTAGACTGCTAGCTTGTAGCCTAGCATTAAACTGAAATCTGAGTTTACACAATTTATATATATATATATATTATTGCTGCGTTTAGTCTCAGTTTGAAGCTGCTGCTTTAATTATCCAGTCTTTTAAATTATCATAAAAATATAAAAACAATTATAATAGAAAAGAAAACCTGCTGTTTAAATCAGCAAAAAGAATATAGAAAAGAAAAATGGTCCCACAAATATGGACCTCAGAAGAAATGTATAAGAATAACATACTAGTATAGAGTTAAAAGATAAACAATAAAATACTGTACTGTAAAGTGTTTAACAATATAAAACTTTGGACATTTTTACAGTATATATTTGAAAATAGCAGCAATATCAGAGATGTGCAGAATGACAGCACCAGGTTATTTAACTAAGGAAGAAGGTAATGCATGGACACCGTTAATTTAGATAAAAAAATACATCTTATCATATTTTTTTTTTTACAAAGCTGGCTGATTAACCCTAAAGTCTTGAGATAAATGATCAGAGTTTGGTCTGAAATCCCCTAAAATATGTTTTAAAATAAAACCATTTTAAGGAAGAGAACATTCAGCTGTTTCGGTTATTATTCATTATTCTGCTTTAAATTCAAGTTAACTTGATAGCTTAGATAGATTCAAGTAGCTTTTACTCTCTTCTTCATTGATTACTTTATTTTTATATATAACTTTAGGACATTTATGTCCTGTTCTTTAGCCTGTTTTCAGTTGTGATATTTTTCCACATTTTACAGTTTCAGCATAAACCAGCAAAAGTCTGGATTTAGAAACATGAAGTCAGGATTATACCACCGTGACTCCCAGATGGGGAAAGGTTCCTCTGACTCTCTTAGTTTGGGGTGGAAACAGCCTGAAAATGTCTGGAATTTGAAGTATTGTTCAGGTTATATTGTTTGAATTTTTCCCACTTTATTCTGTCGTCTAAAAGTTAAATCTGTCCCTCTGTCCTTTCATGTTTCCAGACTTTTGTTGTCTTAATGGCGTCTTTGCCCTTTTTTCCAGCTCCAGTTTTTTTCCAGGTTTCCAATTTAAGACCCGACCAGCTCGGAAACATCTGCCTTCAATTCATAATGAAGCAAAATGAAAACAAAAACTAACTTTTTTTTTTTTTTGTCTTCAGGCTACAGGAGCGGATCAGGTTGTTGGGATGAGTCTGGTTCTGTTCAGCCTCCTGCTTTTCTCCTATTACACCGTCTGGGTCATAGTACTGGTACGTTCTGTTGGGATCCATCAGATCCGGTCCAACCGGGCTTCTAGACATTATTTTAGAACCAGAACTATGCTGATGGAAATTAGAACTGAGATTTGCTGAATTACTTATTAGTTTAATCTGTAAATGTTGTATTAAATCCGCCTCTTTCTGGCTTCTGTAATATTTAGCTTTTTATTTTTATGAAATGTTCCAAAAAAAGTTAAAAAAAAAAACAAAAACAATCCACTGGACTTTGTTTCCAAGTTTGAAGACGTTTCTCTTCCATCCAGGAAGATTTTCAATACAAATTTTCAGGAATATGTAATGAAATGTATTTCAGGTCAGTTCTGATATATTAATAAGAAGATATACCAGCATTAACATCACTATTAGATTATGTTAACATGTAACCTTGAGAGATATTAATAGATTAGGTTCATTTCTCTCCTTTTGAGGTTTTGTCATCAGTTTGTTTGTTTCATTGTGTCCAACAGGTTTGGAAATATGTCTGATATCCGTAAATATCGATTATTGGCCATATTAGTCATATTAATATCGCTATCAGCCCAGATCTTCTGATTCCTGATGAATGTAAATCCTGTCTGATGCAGTTTTTTTGTCTTCTTGCAGCCTTTTGTGGACAGTGATCATCTCCTTCACAGATATTTCCTCCCTCGGGAATACTCAGTCATCCTGCCTGGAATCGCTGCAGTCGTCCTGCTGCTGTGCATAGGTCAGAGCCTCCCTCTCTCACGTGTTTCCCTTAACTTTAAGCTCATCAGCCTTTCTTTATCTGTAAATATCAATCCGGTTCTGCCTTCCTGGGTCCAAACCATTCCAGTAAAACCTGCTTGAGTTTCATGCAGACCTCTGTAGACGACGAGGATTCATTATATCACAGCAACTTTCACAGCAAGTTTAAGAAAATCTGAAGGAAAACGTAAATTGCAGCGGCTTAAAAGCAAAACAGAGTTAGAGAAATTAGAGGAAATGAGAAAAAAATAAAGGTAAAATGATAAAGAAAATGGAATGATGGTTAGTCTGGAAACTTGGCTAATAATGTTCTGATTGCTCAGCCAAAGGCAACTCTGAAAATTATTTTTTTTATTCCTCATTTGAAGCAGCTGAGGGTTTCAGCACTTCTACAGTTTTCTGGGATTTAATTCCAGATTATTGCAGCATCTTTTAGTTTGTTTTTTTTATTTTTGGATTTCCACTTGATTAAAACCTTTTATTGAAGACACTAAGCAGTCGGAATATTCTGATCCGATATTGATAGTGAAAATTAGGGATGCACGATATAATCGGCCCCCTATCGGTATCGGCCTTAAAACTGAATATCGGACATCGGCCACCCCACCGATATTTAACCCGATATTTGATCAGCTTCTGAGTTTCTGAAGTCTAAAAAAAAAAACTACTTCTTCTTCTTCCTCAAAAACTTCTTTTTTACAGACTTAAAAACTTCTAAAGACGAGGGAAAAAATATTGATACATTAAAATATCCCAATATCTTCATATGCTGATATATTGCCATTTAAAAACACCATATCAATCTCTTTTACTAATGAAATATTGCTATATGTCATCGTTATGCTACGAAATCCCCCGAAAATTCACCAAATGTTGCCATATTTTTATATGTTGATATATTGACGCGGTATCCATCTATTTTACTAACAAAATCTCACAAGAATTTGCAAAATATCACGAGAGTTTGTAACAGAACGATGAAATTTCACGAGATTTTGAAAGTAAAATAGATCGATACCGCGTTTTTAAAAATCAATTTGATATCAGCATATGAAAATATATTTGAGTATATTATTTTTCAAAGTGTCAGAAATGGATAACAAAACTGCTATTTTCAATGACTACTTATTTTTGTCCAGCTTTAACATCGGTATCGATATCGGTTATCGGCTACATGAGTTTTAAAATATCGGAATATCGGATATCGGCCAAAATCCCAATATCGTGCATCTCTAGTGGAAATCGGTCCGATATAATTCGTAATATATCGGCCTGCATCTAAAATCTCCAATTAAAAGCTGATAGAAAAAATCATCTTCTGTTTTAAGTTTCTTTAACTTATTGATAAATAACCAACAGGTCAAATATTTGTTTTATTTCGTATTCACATTTCTGTATTCAATCGAGGTGGATGTCATCTGCAGGGTATTAATAACCTTTGCTCCGTCCCTGTCAGATGCTTTAGATGAATACTAATGAGATGTTTCTGCTCCACAGGAGCCTTCACTGTCGTCGTTGTGTGGAAAAACCGTAAACCAAAGAAGGTGGACTGAAATCGGGATGTTTTTGGAGTTTCCTCTGCAGACTTTCTGACTGCCTTTAGTCCTGAAGGGAAATCTGATCTTTGGCTCCTCCTAGTGGTTGTTTCACAGAAGATCGACTGTCCTGATAGTTTGGATCTTCTCATCATCTAAGCTTTTCTCCTCCCAGCTGTCAGACATGCAGCCTTCAACCCTCAGAGCCGATGAATCAAAGAGGAAACAGGAAAGGCGCTAAATAAACCCCAGACCAACGACCTCAGCAGGTTTAGTTTCTACGGTAAATGTTCTGTAATTATTAGATCTAATGAGCTGAGGAACAATGAACATGAGTCGGACTGACGCTGATGAGTTAATGATGAGAACTGAGCCAATGTTTGTCCAACATGGAGACCAATCTGGTGTGGAAATAGTTTCTAAATGAAAATGTCAGAAAATAATAAAGAAATGAATAAAAAACAAAAGTGCACATTTGTTTTCTTCTTTGACATGATGGAAATATTTGCTCCTTTAAAACATTTTAGTTTATTTTTTTTTTAAATCAGTTTGCAAATTCTTGTTTCATTTCTTATGAGACCAAACCTCTCTAAGCTGAGAAAGTAATCAGGACGCAATTGCTTTTCCACACAGGACAAGAGGCGGGTGGGTACCCAAAAATTATACTCAAGTAAGAAAAGCACTACTTCAACTTAATTTTTTTTTTTAAGCGAAAGTAAAAAAATATTCAGTAAAACATCTATTGATTAATGAGTAACTGTTGGATAATATCAGATTTAATGTTTATAAATGATGATTTTAAACTGACTCTTATGTGTTATGTGCAACTCCTGACATTTTAAAGACTCAAATCCCTGAAGAAGGCAAATATGAATATAAAAGAACAAATTTCTGCAGAAGAAATACTTTCACCTTTTTTTTTATCAACATTAAACTAATCCTTAAAATGAGAACTGTATAAATGTTAGGACAGGGTAACAAACTGTTAACCAGTTACTGTATCTTTACCTGATTTTGGAATAGTTAAAATAACAGAGGACAGAGTTAAAATCAAGTACACTGGAAAAACAATCTAGAAATAAGTAAAAGTTTTAAAAATTAAGTGTATTTACC